CACGTGGGCCGCCACGGTCTCCGGGCGCCCCGCCACCATTTTCCCGCGCAAAAAATTCGCCCTTGCATCCCTCGCCGGAAAACTCTACGTCGCCGGCGGCGCCGCGAAGACCGCCGCGGTCGAGGAATTCGATCCCGATTCCAACGCGTGGCGCGTGGTTTCCCACGCGCCGCGGAGGAGGTACGGCTGCATTGGAGCATCTTTTGACGGCGTTTTTTATATTATTGGCGGGTTAAAAATTGGCGCGTCGGAACAGAGCGTGTTGTCACGCGCCTACAGTGGTGCCGAGGGTCACGCGGCTTATGCAAGTTCAATGGATTTGTTTGACGTGGAGGCGCGTGTGTGGCTTCGGAGCCGCACCGTGCCCGGAGGCGGCTGTGTGGTGGCAGCTTGTGCCGCCGCCGGGCGCGTGTATATACTTAGCAGCCACGCGGTGGAACTTTCATTTTGGAGTTTTTATGCTAAAAGAAATAACGATGGTGAGAATAAAAATGATAATGATAACGTATTTGGAGAATGGTGTAAGATAAAGACTCCGCCACTACCTGCGCAAGTTAGAGTGGACACTAGAATGAGGTTTAGTTGCGTGGGAATTGAGGACAAGGTGTTGTTGATTCAGAATTTTAATGAAGTGAGAGGGTTAAAGAAAGGGTTTGTTTTGGTTTATGATTGCGTGGCCGGAGAGTGGAGTAGAGGGGTGGATTTGCCGGAGGTTTATCGACGCGCCGCCTATGTGGGTGTGGAATGCTAAGTTGCGCCGACCATGTGGCATCATTGTAGTGTGACCAGCAGACAGTGGTGCGTGAGGGTTCATAGGATAGGGTGTACCTAAGTTGTGGTCCCCTGCATGAGTTTGGTTAGTCTTTGCGGTGATTTTGATTGGCTTGTTCTCTCGAATGTAGTTTCCATTCTTTTATTGAAAAATTAAACAATGATTCACATTTATTGTTAAAGAATCTCGTTTTTGTCTCCCGAGTTTAAAATTTTTGCTATTTTGACCACCTGCAAAATAATTTAAGTTTATTTTGATTCTTGGGTAGTCAATTAGTCGTTGTGTGTTTTAATTGCTGGAATGGAAAATTGATAATTGGAATGGTTTCAAGTGGGTTTGATTAATTTGTATTCGAGAGTGAAAGCTAATATGCTTGTTTGTTTGTTTGTTGTTTTCTTTAGGTAATTTGTCCTAATCATTAAGTTGGCCAATGCATTTAAATTTGAATTGCGTAGATGCCACTGAAGTTTCTGAACATGATGCAATAAAAGAAAGATTAATATAAAATATCTCTGTTGATTTTTCAAATCATAATATAAAATGTTGAAAGATTAATCACGTTTAACTATGTAGATGGAGGCTTAATAAAAAAAAATTGATGGTTGAACGAGAATTAGCACACTAGGCATGTGAGGGCTAGTGGTGCAACAATAATGCATTGTTGATCTGAGTTATGCTCAGTGTGCGACTTAGAAAACACTCAATAGATTGCAGCCTTGCACTTAATGGGACTTCTGGTTACGTTATGAATAATAGCATTTGTTTTTGGATAAAACAGGCAATTCTCAAGCTTTTTTTATGCATTTTTAGTAGGGTGTTCGTAAAATTATATTGAACTAAATTGTGTTGAAAATTAAATTATAAAAAATTAAAGTATCTTTTTTATACAAACTAAATTAAACTATATTTTAAATTCAGCTTAGAAAATTAAACTATTATAAATGTAGTTTAATGCACTTTAGTAATAAAAAAATTATTATAATGACTTTTGTTTTAATTGTTGCATTCAATCTGTACAGGTAAGAATTTTTATTATAAATAAGACCATATTTAAAGATAAATCAATGTTGTTATCCAATTATTATACATTACCATGAATAATTAAAAATATTAATCTTTAATATTTATTTAATAAATTATATTTACGATGATTTTTAATTGATTTGACTAGGTAAATAATACATTAAAATTATTTTTTTAAAAAAATACATTGACTATAAATCAAATTATTTAATACTTTAAGTTTTTTTTTTTACATATTTTTTTTAATTTGTCTTGTCTATGTATGACTATTCTTTATTGTCATTTTTACCATTTTTAGTTAAATAAAAAAGAAAAAAAATGATATTTTTCAGGAGTCACATGTTTTTTTCCTATAAATATTTAATTCAACTACATATCTATTATTCAAATTCGAGAGAATTGATTAAGTTGAAACAAATTTCTTACGTTGATAGATTATTTAAAATTTATTTCAAACTAAACTATACTTGAGAGCTAAATTGAACTAGACTATGAAAAAATACTCAACTATTTTTTATAAAAAATAAATTGAACTTAATCTCAGTTTTAAAAACTAAATTACTATAAAAGTCAGTTCCGTTTTATTCAAATTACAAAAAAAAGTTTGATTTAGAGTACAAAAAATAGTTAGATTTAGTACAAAGTATATTTCAAATACATGGAACATTGACTAATGGTTCTATAGTTACTATTTATGTGAGTTTGAACTGTTTTGCCTTAGTTTTTGATGAGCGATTTTGGTTGACTTATTACTTGGAAGATTTAATTTTTTCAAATTAAACCGTGTTAGACAAATTTTAGTTTATTATTATAAGTTTGAGAACAAGAGTTAATTTGAAATGATAAAATATTTTTTTATAATATAGTTTAGTCAAATTTATTGTAAAAAAATAGTTCAATTTAAATTACAATACAATTCTACCTTTTAGAACTTCACTAAATTAGAAAATAGTTTAGTCTAGTTTTCTAGACTATTTTATACTTTAATTCAGTTTACATGAACTACTTTTATAACTCAATTTAGTTAATAGGTGATTTAGTTTAGTTCAATATTTTTGAATACTCCCAATTTTGAGGATGTATATGTAACATGGGTTCCATCTTATTGGTTGGTAAGTTTTAGACGAGACCACTATGCGGTTGTTTGCAGGGTAATTTAATTAGGATATCTAGACATTTTTATTTTGTTATAATTTTCCTTCAACTTGTTGTCGTGCCTCTCTAATTCTTTTTTTTATCTTCAAAAAATGAAGTTTAGGTGTGCTGAGTTTAGAATTTACCAAGAACATGGTAGATCTTTGTGAGCATTTATAGAAATACTTATGGATTACCTTGTCACAACCCGAAAATTTTTGATCTCGCGATCTATGGTTTAGACATCTTTTTGAAGATCTCATTAATTAAAGAATGCCCGGACACTAGACTAATTATTCTTAATTAATAGTTTTGAAAATAGGTTCATGGAGTCGTCACCAATGTTTTACTCAAAACATTGGGAAAAGAAAAGGTTTTTAAAGATCCAATAATGACCTTGATAACCAGAATTGGGTTCGGGGGTCGATTACATGTAGGGAA